AAAAAAAAAAAAAAAAAAAGAACCAGGCCAACAAAGCAATGAATGGAAAGGCAACGACTGGGCTTGAGTACAATAGAAAAATAGAAAATACAAAGCAATTGTGGCACATGTAGCCTTTAAAATATGGGATTTTGTCCAATACTCCAAATCATTTGATATTTATATGTGACTTTTTTTCATGAATAATGTGATAATTACTTAGTTATTTATTTTCATGTTTTATTTGGGAGTTCAACATTATATCGAGATCTCCTTTACATCAGGGAACTTGGAGACTTATTAATATTCAGGAAGGCTGTACTTTCCACATCATGAATTCATACAAAGGACAATGCTACTCTAAACAGCTCCACCTCCTAACTTGAACACCTTTCTCATTGGGATTAGTAGTTTATAACCATTACTAGTGGTTCCCGTCCACTGCTTGAACTATAACTAAGGAACAGGAAGTCTTTTCCTTTCTTGAGTTTGGAGAATAGGAACTTAGTATTCTCACATTCAGATACAGGAGTATAAGACTTTTACTTAACTTCATTAATCTTACACATGTATGTTTTTTTTTTCTCATGCTGAAAATTCCAGTGATGTGGAAAGAGGCATGGGGGGTCCTGGCAAACTTTATTAGAGTGGAAGAGACTGAAGACAATTTTTTTTATTACTTCATATTATGGGGGTACAGATATTGTTAGGGTTATATATCTTGCCCCTGACCCCACCACCACCCCGCTGTCTCACAGCTTCTAGCGTATCCAGCTTCCAGGTGGTGTGCACAGATCCCACCGTGTAAGTACATAACTTTCCCCCTGCCCACTTCCTGATTACAGATTTTTTTTCAGACATTTTGGTTACAATGTATATCTTTACCTCTCCCTAAAAAGGGATAGAGGTAATCCCTTCCCCCCCCCAACAATGTTTGCCACTTCCTTAAGATGAGGGTCTCCCTCCCCAAATCCCTGTTGCACACTACCATTTTTTGAGCACCATAGTTTTAGTCAGTCAGTACTAATTTGATGGCGAGTAGATGTGTAGCCCATTTTCCAGATCTTGTGTCATCTCGCTTTGTATTACGGGCTTAAGTTTAATCCTATAAAGTCAATTTAAATATTGATGAGAAAGAGCCAGCAAACCAAGAAAACTTGAAAATTTAAAAATGAGGAGATGATTAATAGTGTAAAATTTCCTGATAAAGTGAGAAGACGGATACTTCATCCATAGTCTCATTAGACAACAAGCAATATTACACAACACAAGTACAGGAATCCTGTAAAGTCTTTGTCACTTGGATGGTCTCTTCCCCTGGTTTCTGTGGGAACACAGGATTTCCCCATATTGATCTTGTCATAGCCATTTAGGTTTAAGAGGGAGCATCACATTTTGATTCTCGACTGTCCATGATGGCAGTGACACACTTAAGAATAGAACTGGCTTGGGTTCCCAGACCAATGTTCTTTCCTTACATTTTGATGTTGAACCAAGTGTTTTTTTTTTCAACAAACTGATCGACTGGGAAGAAATCAGCAAAGAATCAGGAAAATATGAAGAATCAAATGGAAAACCACCCCCAAGAGAGCACCAGCCCCTAGAAACGACACCGACCAAAATCAGGCAACCAATATGACAGAAGAGGAATTTCGCATGTGGATCTAAAGAACACTCACCAGCTGCAAACACAACTCAATAACCACACAAAGAAACCACAAAAGCTCCAATATGGAAAAAGAATAGACAAATGAAGAAAAGTGTAACCGAACTCCTGGAAATGAAGAATCAATCAAGGAACTACAAAATAAGTGGAAAGTCTCAAGAACAGGAAGAAGATCAAACAGAAGAAAGAATCTCAGAGCTTGAGGAATACAGCCTCCAATTAAATAACTCAGTGACAGAATAAGCAGAGAAACAAGAGAAAGAGCAAAGCCTACAAGAGCTGTGGATTATGTGAAGAACCTAATGTGAGGGTCATAGTGTTACAGAAGGGGAAGAAACAACACTCAGGGTTGGACAAGCTGTTTGAAGATAAATAGGAAAATATTCCAAGCCTGCTCAAAATCAGAATATGCAAGTTGAGAGCTCAGAGGACCCCTGGGAATTCAATGCAAACAGGAAGACGTCAAGAAATGCAGCCA